GAAACTCATAAAAATTAATCTACTGCTAATTTAAACAAATTTTTTTAACAAATATGAAATTTATGTAGAATTCAAGCATGCTAGACTCCTTTTAAGTATGTCACTAAAAGGGAAACTAAACTTTTATAGTTAATTCACATTGATTTAGCAGATTTTAGAAATTGCGAGAGTAATGGAGCAAAACACCATTATGTCACCTCTGTATATGAATACTATATACAAAAGTTTATCTCCTAAGAACAAAATATGAAGAAGAAGGTGATTTTCTAACTTATATAGCAGAAGTAGAAAATCAACTTGATAGAAGAATAAAACTACTTAGATCTGATATAGATGGTGGTTACAGTTCTAATTTCCTCAAAAAGATTTTTGATAAGAATGACATAATACATGAATACTCCGCACCCTATTTTCTTAAAAAAATATTGTTATTGTCGAAAGGAAAAATATAACTTTAAAAGACATGATGAATGTTTTATTAATAAGTTTAAGGTTGTAAGATAATATGTGAGGGAAAGCCATTCATTCTTTTAATCATTTATTAAATCGTGTATCTCATAAGAAATTAGATTGTACCCCATATGAATTGTGAAAAGTTTATCATCCAAACCTGTAATACCTAAAAGAGTGGGGTGTTTTTCGAGAATAGGATTATCTGCTTTCAAGATAATCATTATCGGTCCTAAACCTGTTGACGTTGTGTTTATTGGGTATGCTGGAAATAGTGTTGCGTATAGATTTATTCTTTACATGATTTTTCGATTTGTGAATCTAGAGATAATGTTTTATTAGTAAATATTTTTCCTTTTAAGAAAATTAGCTCTAAGGTGGATGCACAAAAAAAATTTATGTCTCAACTTCTTCTAATGTACCTATTATTAGGGAAACTCTAGATAAAGATATAGAGTCTAGAAGAAGTGAAAGACAAAGAGTAACAACTTCTTTTGGACCAGACTTTATAACTTTCCTTATTACTAAAGTTAGTGACTTCACTTTATTTCTCTTTACATAGCCCAGACTTCTCTGTTAGATTGAGATATTAAAATATATTGTGAAACTATAAGATCAATTGATGCTAGTTTTTAGAGAAATGCTATTAATGGTGAACTAGAATAAATAATTTCTAATTACACTTAGGAATTAGTTAACTTGCCTAAAAGATTTAGACCTATCAGTAATAAATGAGTTTTAAGGGAAAAACTTATATCAAATGGGTCAATCCAGAGGTATAAGGTAAGACTAGTAGTCAAAAGATTCACTCCGAAAATTGGAATTGATTTTTTTCATACTAAATCTCTCGTGACTAAGATCTCAATGATTTGTGCTTTGTTTTTATTAGACTCTATTCACACAATAAAAGTACATAAAGTGGATATAAACACTACATTCTTGAATGAAGATCTAGACAAGGAGACCTAAATGGAGCAACCTTCAGCGTTTGAGGCTTCTAGCATGGAGAGAAAAGTGTGTAAACTCAAAAACTCACTTCATGACCTTAAGCAAGCTCCAAAGAAATGGTATGAGAATTTTCACAAAATTATTCTTAGTTTTGGGTTTATTGTTAATGGAGCTGATGCATGCATATACTCAAAAACATTTGGTTATGATCGTGTAATTCGTAGTATATATTTGGATGACGTGCTAATTTTCAATACCAACATTGAGGCTATTAATAAAACTAAAATATTCTTGTATGCCAAATTTGAAATGACTGATTTGGGAGAGGTATATGTTATTTTAGGAGTCAAAGTTGGAAAAATTGATAAAGGATTTTCTTTAAATAAAAATCACTATACTGAGAAAGTGTTAAAGAAATTTTACAGTTTTGATGTCATCCCTTTCAGATATCCTTATTAAACTAGCATACATCTTTGTAAAAATAAATAAAGTATTGTTTCTTAGAAATTGTATGCAAAAAAAAAAAAAAAAATTGGTAGCCTTATGTTCTTAAAGAACTACACTCGGTCAGATATTGCGTATATTGTTAGTAGATTACTTATATATACTCATAATCCTAGTAATAAACAATAGATTGCACTCAAATGCTTACTAAAGTGTGTTAAGGGTGCAATGGATTGTATACTTCAGTTTGTTGGATATCCTGTAGTCATAAAGGGTTATTGTGATGCTAATCGGGTTATCAATGTTGAAGTCAACTGAATGAATGGGTATATCTTCACACTAGATGGATCAGCGATCTCGTGGAAATTTACTTATCGATGATGAAGTAAGCTCAATAAATGAGTACGTCTTCAAACTAGATGAAGCTCGATCTTATGGAAATTTACAAAGCAGACATGTATTTTTCATTCTACGATGGATTCAGAGTTAAATGCTTTCGATCTATCTGGGTAGGAAGCCAAATGGCTCAGGAATTTATTAGCACAAATTCTCTTATAGGGAGAACCAACTCCTCCGATGTTTTTATTATGTGATTATCAGGTTGTGATATGTGTGGCACATATCCAAGCTTACAATGGTAAGAAGAAACACATCCTTATAAGACATAATCGATAAGAAACTTAATAAGAAATGAAATACTATCTTTATAGTATGTGATAAATCTTTGAAAGTGTTATTATTTTGATGATGCCCAATGATGAAAATCACATATTGTGAAATGTTGGGGGATCCTGTAGAGACTTATTAGAATTAGATTTCATAGAAACTTTTCAACACTTTATGTGTATGTTATCAATACATAGAGATGTTAGAAAATATTGAATTTTAAATATCATATCTTTATTAGATGTTGCAGTTATTTTTGTCAAAAAATAAAAAAAGAAAAAGAAAAAAATTAAAGATAAGTTGGAAAAGCTGAAAAAAGCTCCAACATAAATCAAGACAAATTATTGTAGCATTGAAAATCATAAACTGAGTAGGAACATTTTTTTAACTGAGCTAAGTATTGATTGGATACACCTAGCATGCACACTATTGCACTCTATAAATTATGAATTTGCTAAGTTAAAATTACATTCCTTGATTTAAGATCATTTTTGTTGTATGCACTGCTGCAGTAGTTCTCTGAGGATTGAAAATGAAATTAAAGAAAATTGTTGATTGGTTTCATGATCCGTTTTTCTGTGGCATTGTTGTTAGTTTTGGTAGTTATGCATGTTGTTGCTTGAGGACAAGCAAACACTTAGGTTTGAGGGTGTGAAAACAATCTAAAAGAATTATTATTTATGATCTTTTTACCTAGGTTGAGCTTGAACTTTAGTATCATTAGGGTTATATTAGGATCATTTTTATATATTTTTCATCATTTGCATCATGGGAGTAAGTTGATGGAAGTTGGCTTGATTTTAATGTTTTACGCTAAAAACTGGTACGTTGATGTTGTGTCATTGATGGATGCTACAGGTGATGCTATGTTGCGATGCTGCGCTAAATTGCTGAATAGAACTTGCAGGAACTGGTAACTCAGCAGGCAGTTATGGAACTTTCTAGATTTAGACAGTTGTCCAATACAACTGTAAAATGGCTCCAAAATATAGAAAAATCATAATTTTCTTATTAGATGATTATTTGACCTTGTGGACTTGAAATATGGTCTCCCTTCACACTTTTTAGAGGGAATTCTTCATCTTCTATATCTTTTTTCATATATTTGAGCCATGATGTCAGCCTAGTCCATTCGTTGGGGAGTACAATAGTAGTAGCGATGGAGTAATAGTGATCGATTGGGGTTCAACATTATCTTCTTGTTTCAAACTTAAGATAGAGAGAGAAAATAATATTGTGAGTGTTGAATGTTTATTACTTTTATTTTGGGTTATGAACATAAAGTGTTCGATTAAATGCTTATATGGTTTTTTTAACTATGTTTATGAGATGCGGTTTTAATATGATGTTGATTAGATATAATATCATCTTATGCATGTGATTTTTGGTTATTTTTAGAGATAAATTAATTAGGATTGCATGCTAGCCTTTTTACAGCATATGTGATTACGAGAGTAACATATCTGTATAGAGATATAGGATGCCTATGATTATGCTTGATTATGAACATATGAGATTTTTTTTAATGAGAATTAGAAGCTTAATATTGTGGATTAAACTTAGCATAACTCATGAACCTAGTGCTTTAACATTACAATTATGTTAGTAGCGCAAAAATAACAACATCATATGTACATTGGTCTTCAATGCTCCCTTGATTGCTGCAACATTCCCATGTTCTTTAACATTGATATTTCTACCTTTTATTTTGTTTGTCAATCAACTTCAAGTCTTCTTTGCTACACTTGAACTTTACTGTAATCAATTTTCTCCTTGTGGGTTCAACATTCATGGCATTGTTTTTGCTACCACTTTATTACTTGTTTGAAAGTGTATGCTTGCACTTTGTTGTAGAATTTACACAACATAATGTTTTTGGTGTCATTACCGATGAGCATTAGTTTTACATTATAGTTTATTTTATTGTTTACTTAATTATTTTATTTCTTTTTATAGGTACTTATATGTTTAGTTTTATTGATTTATGTTTTGTAATAAGGCGAGTTAGAGCCTTACAATCGAGAGATAAAATAAACATTTTTAAGATGCCAAAAAGAAGATGCTAAAAATAAAGCATTTATGGCTAGATAAGAGAACATTACTCTACCAACGCTACAACATGGAATTTCCCTATTCTAGAACATTTGGTGCCAAGACTCGATGATCTACATCTTGGCAAAGTATGACCAACAATTCATGCTGTAAACTTTGAGTTGAAGCTGGCTATATTTCAAAAGTTGCAGTCAACAGGGCAATATAGTGGGTCATTTACTGAAGATCCACGTGCACATCTTCGAGCATTCATGGAAGTTTTTAATTCATTTGTTCAACAAGGAGTTCATGAAAAAGCACTAAATTTGAACTTGTCCCTTTATTTATTGCGCAACAAAGCTAGAGCTTGGTTGACATCCATGCCACCTTGTGTTGTAGCATCTTGGAATGAGCTAGCACAAAAGTTTTTACTACAATTCAATCCACCAAATATGAATGTAAAACTAAAAAATAATTTGACAACTTTCAAGAAACTAGATGATGAAAGTTTGTACGAGGCTTGGAAAAGTTTTAAGGACTTGTTGTGTAAATCTCCAATGCATGGATTCTTACATTGGTCGTAAATAAAAATGTTCTACAATGGGTTTAACATGCACAATCGTATGGTGGTTAATGCTTCAAAAAATGAAGAATTGTTAGACAACTCATATAATGAGGCATATGATATTCTAGAAAGAATATCAAATAATGATTATCAATACATAACACGAGGAACATGTTTGGCATACGCAATATTGCAACAATGGATTCTGATGCTTTCAATTCCATGGCCTCCCAAGTCACAGCATTGACAGACATGGTGAAGAAGCTACAAAAGTGGAGAGGTATGTACCATATCTCATGTTTCTATTATGGAGATTATCATATCTATGAGGAATACCCCCAAATTCCTGACTCCGTCTAATTACAATAGGAATGATAATTCCTATGATAACATTTACAATGCCAACTTCTGAAACCATCCCAATTTATCTAGGAGGAGTCAAAATGTTGCAAATTCACAATAGCATCATTACAATCAGCAGCAGAATGTGCCATAACATCAGATAAAGCGTCAAATTACACTGCTGCAACAAAGGAATAACTCTCAAGGATAATTTTCAACATAAACTTCCAACCTCTCATCTCTAAAAGCCTTAATGAAGGAGTACATAGAAAGTCAATCATCATTATTAAGGGCTTTAGAGAGTAAAGTTGGCTAAATGAAGAATGCTTTGAGCAATAGACTACAAGAAACGCTGCCCAACAATACTGAGAATCCTAAGTTATAAGGGAAAGCTCAATGCAATGAGCATTAGAAGGCTATTACTACTCAAATTAGTCTCCAAATTGGGAAACCTATTGAAGATCCTAAGAGGACTGTTGATGAAGGGGTTACCAAGTATAACAAGGGAAAAACATGAAATTCAAATTGTTAGTGTCACAACAAGAGAAGAAGGACAATGCAGTAATTTTGGACCATTTCCAGTAGTAATACCTACCACACTGCCAGATGCTTCTTTAGCCTCAATGCCACAGCAACCACAAACAAAATTTCCAATGCCAATGCTTTAGCAATTAAAAAAAAGGATGCATTCTCTTTTTCCTAGAAGATTCAAGAAAACTAAGGAGGATCGGTAATACCGAGCATTCATTGAGGTGCTCAAGCAACTAAAAATCAATATTCCATTGATCGATGCTTTGGAGCAAAACCCAAATTACATCGAGTCCATAAAGGAAGTTCTTTCCAAGAAGAAAAAACTTGGTGAATTTAAAATTGTTACACTCACTAAAGGGTGCAGTTTCATGTCTATGAGTATATTGCCTCCAAAATGAAAGGATCCATGGAGTTTTTGTGTTATTGGTGATCATTTTGTAGGTAGAGAATTTTCTGATTTAGGTTCTAACATTAATTTAATGCCTCTATCCATTTTTAGGAAATTTGGCATTGGTGAGGCCCAACGTACTGCTGTGACACTTCAACTTGTTGATTGATTCATTGTTCACCACAAGGGCATAATAGACAACGTGTTGGTCCAAGTGGAAAAATTTATTTTTCCTATAGATTTCATTATTCTAGACTGTGAAGCTAAAAAAGAAGTGTCGATCATACTTGGTAGGTGATTCCTTTCTGCAGGCAGAGCAATAATCAATGTTGAAAATAGAGACCTTACTATGCCTCTTAATGAAAGCACATTACCTCTAATATTTTAACTCCTATTATGAATAATGATAATGTTGAATGCCATTCTATTAACATCGTTGAAGAAATTGTGCATGAACATATGGACGAATGTGAAAGCATTAAGGTTGATACTCGCAAAGAGCATTAAGGTTGATACTCCTGTTGTCGTAGCTACAGTAGAATTAGATAAGCCAGAGGGGAACCAATACTTCTACATTGAAAATAGCATAAACAATAGTTTTGTACCACTAATGCCAACTACAAATCCACAACATGAATATCTAAGGAAAACTATTAATGCTACCGTGGTGCAGAATGATACAGCAGCAGCGAAGGAAACAAGGAAGATCTCACAAGGCTTTAAAGATGAAAGCTCATCACAAAAAATTCACCCCATGAAGCCATATTATTTATATGGTGACAATGGTGAAGTACGTTTCATGACTAATTCTAACAAGCATGAATAATGCTATGATCTTAAAAGCACAGAGTACCTAGAACAGTATGTTGATGCCATAGCAACTGTCGATAAGCATAAAGGGGAGTCATTTTACAAGGACTCGTGAGAATTTACCACAAATCTCCATTTCACTTTGTGAAATCAATTTTTACATACTTTCAATAAAATCATTTATTATATTATATTAGATTTTTTACCATCATCCATAATATGCTACCTCTGCTTCACAATATTAGTTGGAGTTACAAACCGCCATTGCTTCCCAACACATTTTTTAATTCCGAATTGCATCTCTACATGGCATTGGTAAAACAACAACCTATTCATTGTTACACAACACCTTCACCGACATTAGGGGAGTATTGTTATCCATTTTCCCAGATTTTGTTTTATTTTAATTTATTTTTCTCTTTGATAACATACATTGAGGAAAATACATCCCTTAGGTTTAAGGGTGTGTGGTCTAGTTTGTGTTTTGTTTATTTTTATGATTAGGAATGTGTATTGTTTAGTACTAAGTGCATGAATTTGGCATTATAGAGACTTAGTATAATTAGAGTTCATAGAAACTTTTCAACACTTTAGGTGCATGTTATCAATACTTAGAGATGTTAGAAAATATTGAACTTTAAATCTCATATCTTTATCAGATGTTGCAGTGACTTTTAGAATAAAAAAAGGGAAAAAAGAAAATAAAAAAAATTAGGAATAAGTTGGAAAAGCTGGTAATAGCTACAACATAAATCAAGACAGATTGTTGTAGCATTGGAAATCATACACTAAGTAGGAACAATTTTTCTAACATAGCTAAGTATTGATTAGATACACCTAACATGCACATTATTGCACTCTATGAATTCTGAATTTGCTAAGTGTAAATTGCATTCCTTGATTTAAGAACATTTTTGTTGTATGCACTGCTACAACAGTTCTTTGAGGACTAAAAAATGAAATTGAAGAAAATTGTTGATTGGTTTCATGATATGTTTTACTGTGGCATTGATGTTAGTTTTAGTAATTATGCATGTTGTTGCTTGAGGACAAGCAACCACTTAGGTTTGGGGGTGTGATAACTCTCTAAAAGAGTTATTGTTTAGGATATTTTTACCTAGGTGGAGCTTGAACTTTAGTATTATTAGGGTCATATTAGGTTCATTTTTATATATTTTTCGTCATTTGTATCATGGGAGTAAGTTGGTGGAAGTTGCCTTGATTTTAATGTTTTATGCTAAAAACTGGTACGTTGATGTTGTGGCATTTCTTGACGCTGCAGGTGATGTTGTGTTGCGATGTTGCGCCCAATTGCTGAACAAAACCTACAACAACTGGTGACTTAGCAAGCAGTTATGCTTTGCATCAACTCTGAACCGAATTGCTTTTCAATACAACTGTAAAATGGATGGAAAATATAGGAAGATATAAAAAAAATCATATTTTTCTATATCTTCCTTCATATATTTGAGCCATGAGGGTAGCCTAGTCCATCCGCTGAGGAGTGTAACAGCAACAACGATGGAGTAGTAGTGATCGATTGGTGTTCAACATTAGCTTGTTGTTTTGAATTTGAGAGAGGGAAAACGATATTATGAATGTTAAATGTTTATTACTTTTATTTTTGGTATCGAACATAAAGTGTTCGATTAAATGCTTATATGATGGTTTTTGTTGTTTGAACTATGCTTATGAGTTGTGCTTTTAATATGACGTTGATTAGAGACAATGGCATCTTATGCATGTGATTTTTGGTTATTTTGAGAGATAAATTAATTAGGATTGCATGCTAGCTTTGTTACAGCATAGGTGATTACGAGAGTAACATATCTGTATAGAGATATAAGATGCCTATGATTATGCTTGATTATGAACTTATGAGATTTTTAATGAGAATTAGAAGTTTAATAATGTGGATTAATCTTAGCATAACTCATGAAGATAGTGTTTGAGCATTATGATTGTGTTAGCAACCCAAAAATAATAGCATCTTTAATGCTCCCTTGATTGTTGTAGCATTCCCCATATTCTTTAACCCATTGATATTTTTACCTTTTACTTTTGTTTGTCAATCATCAACTTCAACTCTTCTTTGCTACACTTGAACTCTACTGTAATCAATTTGCTCCTTGTGGGTTCAATATATGTATTATTATTTTTCTACCATTTTATTACTTGTTTGACATTTTATGCTTGCACTTTGTTGTTGTATTTACACAGCGTCAATATGTGAAGTCAGAGAGGAACCTAGATGATCTGCTAACCAAAGTGATAAGCCAAAATTGGTCATTGATTCATCAAGGGGGATGAGCGTAAACCCGTTGGTTGAAGAATTCATGATGGACACCCAACTTTGTTATCCAAGTTCAATGTGGCAAACGAAACCATGGAAAGACTAATAGTGTACATTACCTATCCCTTTGATGAATAATGTATATGCACAAGGTTGCATTATTTTTTCTCTTAATGCATTCATTGCCTAGGATTTGGGTGGTCTTAGTGATAAAGACTTGATGAATTTAGCAATTTTGATTGAATATATAGTCTTAATAAGTTCATAACCCAGTGATGAGTGTGTGGTTCTATCGTGAAAGACTAAATGAACTTGCCTCTAGAATGATGGGTTTTCTTAACTCTTAATGAATTCAATCCCAAGTGTTTGGATGATCCTATTTGAGAATGACTTATTGAATTCATCGGCTAAAGAGGATGTATATTTATTCTTAATGATTTCTTATCCTAGAGTTTGGATGATTCATTTAAATGAACTGAAGAAACTCACCTTATTTATTTTAAGATTGAGTTGTTGTAAAAGCTCTTAATTATTTCATAGTTTAGATTCTAGTGGATTATATTGAGGTAAACCTAACGAAATAACCTACGTAAGTGAGAATGTTTACTCACCACCTTCTACTAAAAATGTTGGGTGATT